AGCTAAGATCCATCTAACATCAGCTACAATATCCCTAGTACCACGACCCCTTCTAAACCCAGCCTGGACTTCCGGCAGTTCTCTGCTGATGTACTGTTCCAGTCGTTTTTGGATAATCTTCAGTGGATGCTCATTTAGTTTAGGAAAAAGCATAAGGTTAAGAACTAACAGTACTGAAAGCACTGGAAGAAAGTAAATATCCAACAGTTGGCTCAATACCATTTGTAACGTTTCAAACATAGTGTTTCAAACTCTGCAAATACAAACTCATCTATGCCAAGAAATTTGGAAGGCTGCTGCCTGGCTAGTAGATTGGGAGAGGTCCGTGTCTGTGTTCATGCCAAAGAAAGGTGATCCATGTGGAAATGATTGAACAATCTCAGTAGTCTTCTATGTAAGTAGGGCTTTATGAAGATGAATGTGGCATCAGGATTGGAGGTAGACTCATCAACACCCTGTGTTATGCAGATGACACAACCTTGCTTGCTGAAACTGGAGAGGGCTTGAAGCATTTGCTGCAGAAGGTCAAGGACTATAGTATGCATTGAAGCTCAACATTAAGAAAATGAAGATTCTCACCACAGGGCCAATTGGCAGCATCGTGATAGATGGAGAAGAGATTGAGGTTGTTAACAAGTTCAGCTTACTTGGTTCCACAATCAACACTCTTGGAACTAGTAGTCAGGAAATCAAAAGACAAATTTCACTAGGTAATTCTGCTGTCAGGGATCTCTCCAGAGTGCTGAAAAGCAAGGATGTCAGTCTAGAGACTAAGATGCTCCTGATCCAGGTCATGGTCTTCACAATTACTTGCTATGCATCGGAGAGCTGGACAGTGACCAAGGATGGCAGAAGAAGAATTGATGCCTTTGAGTTGTAGTACTGGAGAAGAGTATTGAACATACTATGGACTTCCAAGAAACTAATAGGTCTTTCCTGGACAGGGTGAAACCAAGTTTCTCATTGGAGGCAAGGATTTTGAGACTCCATCTCACAAACCTTGGCCATGCAGCCAAGAGTGACAAGTCTTTGGAGAAGGGTATCATGCTTGGAAGGGCTGAGGGACAGATTAACAATAACTGGTGTATTGAGGGTAGATGTGTCAGAACAGTGAGATTGGCTCAGGATACAGCAGGGCTCAGAGCCACTATGTATAAGGTCGCAATGAGTCACACTAGACTTGATGGCACGTAACAACAGTAACAAGTAAAACGTTGCTGAAGGGAATTGGAAAAGAACTGAAGCCACACACGATGGGTACTGCCAGAAATTCAAGAAAGATTTAAAAGGAAAGGTGAAATGAGGGCCATCATTGCTGAGCTTAGATGGATCTTGGAGGAAAGCAGACAATGCGTCGACTGACTGCACAAAGGCCCTTGACTGTGCACCTCATAACAAAGTAGCTCATAAACATATTACTCAGGATGGGAATTGCAGGACACTTCACTGTGCCCATGTAGAACCTTTACATAGACCAAGATCCAGTCAAAAAACAGCAAGGGGATATTGACTGATTTAGGATAAGGAAAGGTGTGTGGCAATTCTGTTGTTGTGTGCTGTCGGGTTGCCTGCTGCTCACAGCGACCCTACGTACAACAGTCCTAACCCTGCTCTGTCCTGTACTAATCTCATTGTCTCTGACACACCCATCCCGATTACCCCAGTGACGGAATCAATCCTCATCGAGGGTCTTCCTCTCCTGCTCCCTTTCTAAGCTTTATGTCAGGGAAATGTTGCCGTGTGGTCCTGTGTGGTGAGTAGTCTCCTTAGAGGGCTGCCGGCTGTTTGGCAGTACGTTTTTCCAGGAGACTGTGGACCCTTGGACCCTTGGTGGCCCTCAGTGGCCCTTGGTGGCCCTTGGTGAGCCCTTGGTAACCCTTGGTGGCCCTTGGTGACCCTTGGTGACCCTTGGTGGCCCTCGGTGGCCTCAGAAGCCTCTGATGGCCGTACTCCCCCATGTTTTCACAGGCTCATTTCTGAAAGTCCTTCTCTGAGACCCGAGGTGGAAGTCTCAATAGTGGAAGTTTACAACAACGAGGTCTTTGACCTTCTGGCTAAGGAGGATTCATCAGTGGTCTCAGGGGCCAAGGACAGGAAGAGGGAGCTGGCCCTGCCCACCCACGAGTGAGTGCCTGTGCCGCGAGCTGCTGAGGGGGGGGGTCCTTACGGCAGAGGCCCCGGGCGGAACCTGCCGCAGAGCCACGGTCCGGTGGGATGATGTGTTAGGACTTTAGGGTGTAATGTCTACGACACAGGGTTCATTTTCCCGTTAGTCAGGGTTTAAGTGGAAGCTTACACAGTAGGTTGGTTTTCCGCTGAACCCTCATACTTAGTTCTGGGACACTAGTTATAACACCTGCATCGTAATGGCCCTCTTCCCACGCCCTCTGGGTGATTCTTGCTTCCACTCATCCTTCTCTCCGGCTCCTTCTTGCCTTCTCCCTGGGCAGGCTCCCCCTTTGGCTGCATGTGGCTGCTCTGAGGACCAAGTGCCTCTCCAGCATTGCTGGTCCCCTTCTGGACGTGTGTGTTGTTTGGCTCAGAGTTGGGTCGGGGGGGTGTTTTGTTCCAGGCCCAAAGGGTGACTGAGGACTGAATTTGCTTTTAAAATTATCTTAACTCGGGCTCACGTGGATACCTACCCACCGACGTTGTCTGTAGTGTTTCTCCTAGTTACCAAAAGGCAGAAACAACCCAAGTGCCCATTCACAGACAGTGGTAACCCAGACACCGGAGCATTAGTCAACAGGAAACCTGCCAGAGTGGAGGGCACTGCAGAAGGAGGAATGTGGTCGGGCCCACTGACGTGCAGGATCTGGAAGTGGTGAATGCAGGGGGCCAGCTCTGGCTGCGAGGTTGCAAGGAGGCAGTGACACAAGCTGGGGCCAGAGAGTGGGGCTGGTCAGCGGAACTGAGGGTGGTTGCTGGGGGCCACTGAGCTGGTTCTGACTCACAGTGGTCTGTGTGGTAGCAGATCTGTCTGAGGCCCCCGTAGGCTGTGGTCTTCATGGGGAAGATCACTACGTTCTCTCCTGGCACTGCTGCTGGGTTTGAGCTGCCAACCCACTGAGCACCCAATTCTTTACCAGCTTCTTAGTGTCCCGTGTGGAAGTGGCTGACGTGGCACATAATTTACATGTTACTTCTCCACACTAAGAACACCTCCCTAAGACCTAGAGGGTCAACTGTGGCCCTACATGCCAGCTGAGCAGATAGGGGGGCCCGGCCAGTCACTGGCCTGTGGCACCGAGCTGAGATAGTGAGGGGTGACCAGGGCTTCTGGAGCCCTCAGGATGGTCTGGTGAGCAAACTGCCCATTCCCACGTGCGTGTGTCCTCGTTCCTTTTGATCTCAGCTACCAGATTACCTTTGCGTGTCTCAGGGGCTCAGGCTGAGGGGAGGGCTCTCCGTGGATGCGGCCAACGTGGAACCCCTCAGTTAGTCCCCTCTGTGCTCACTCACTCAGCTGAACCCAGCTCTGAGTGGAGGCCAGCAGCACCCTGTCCCTGTCGTTTCCATGTCTTAAAGTTTTTGAGAGTGAGTCCAGCTGGTGTGTCAATGGTCTCAGACCACTGCCAGCTGGGCGTCCCGGCCCCTCCTGTGTCCAGCTGGCTCTGGGGGTCAGGGTCCTCACGTGTGCTCACGTGCCCCTCTGGAGTGGGTGAAGACGTGGAGAGGTCACCTCAGACGGGAGGCAGGTGCACATGTCCCGGGCTATGCACCTACGTGAGGACACGGGGAGGTGGATGCGGTGTCAGACAGACGTGGTCAGAGCCTGTCCACCCCAGGTGCACTAGCGAGCATGGCAGTCATGCTTTCCCTGTCCCCTGGTGACCCACAGCAGAGGGGCAGCCCAGGAACAGAGCCACGAGGGAGCAAGGGTATGAGGAACAGACTCTGGCCCCAGCAGGCGGCAGTGCCCACAGGATGGGACTGTGAACCCAGCAGAGGGGACTCTGAATCAGAAGTGATGCCCACAGAAGCTGCTTGGATGCTTGGGTTTGCCTGAGCTTCTGCAATCTTCCACCAGAGATGGTGGGCTTTACACAGTCATGAGACCACCACTGTCCCCCCAGGAGGCCAGAAGGAATGGGGACAGGGCCTGTCCTTGCCAGTCACACTGGCAAGATAACTGTGTGTTATCTATGCATGTTACCTGTGCATATGTCATGTAACTTCTCCCTGGCGAGTTATCTCTCTGTGTGTATGTCATTGTGTGCACTACTGATATGAATTCCTTGTTTGTTCCTGTGGGCATTACCTATGTCACTTACCTGAAGAGCAGTCATGTGCATTACCTGGTGAGTTCTTGTGTGAGTACCTCTGTGGGCGTTATTTGCAGGCATCACCTGTGTGGGTTACCGGTAGGCATCACCTGAGTAGATCACCTGTGGGCATTACCTATGGATGCCACTTGTGAGCATTACCTGTGGACGTAACCTGTGGACGTTACCTGTGGGCATAACCTGTGTGGGTTACCTGTGGGCATCACCCGTGTGAGTTCCTGAGTAAACATCTACTGTTACCTGTTGGAGTTCCTGTGTGAGCTCACCTGTGGACATCACATTTGTGAACACACCTGTGGGTGTACCTGGGACTTCTTGTGTACTCACCTCACACCTGCTGTTGTAATGCAGGTTGGTGAGAAGCGCTGAGGAGCTGGTTAAGCTGGTTGGTGAAGGTCTTCAGCTCAGGGTGAGCCACCCCACCCTGGTGCACGCCAGCTCCTCCAGGTCTCACCTGATTGTCACGGTGACTCTGCCCTCTGCTGCCTCTTCTGAAGGTAAGTACACGTGTGAGTCCTGAGAGTCCTCTAGAATGAAAAAGTGAGTGTGCTGGCAGGACCCCAGGTGAGCACAGAGTGGCCTCAGGTGAGCACAGAGCGGCCGCAGGTGAGCACAGAGCAGCCGCAGGTGAGCACAGAGCGGCCGCAGGTGAGCACAGGTGAGCACAGAGAGATCACAGAGCTCAGCGTCCTCTCTGATGACCTGGAACCACGACTCAAAAGGCCCAGCGCTTGGTCAGAGGAACTGGGCAGAGCAGGAGGGAGGATGGCCCTGGTTAAAGGGGACCTGACAGGGCAGCCGTCCCCGTTACCCACACACGGAAGCCCGTGGGAATCAGCTGTTCTCACGGAGTTTCCAGGGCTGACTTTGGGTAGAGCTGCCACTCCTTTCTTCCGTGGTGCCTCAGGTGGGCTCGGTCCTGGGCCCTTTGGGTTAGCGGCTGTGTAGCCATTACAGCATATGTGTTGGCAGTGCGCCAGCGTGCATGTCTGGGAAACAGTGCCGCGTCTGAATGAAGCCACAGGTGCGATTCCATCAAGAAAGGAAGGCTGCGACCACAGCACAAATGACCAGCCCAGCACGTCCAGCAGTGGTGCTCAGAGCAGTAGCCAGGCCTCTGAAGGCTGGCCCAGCCTGCTGGGTATACCTCTCGGGTGACCGCAGGCCTGAATAGTACTGGCCACTGTAGTTCATGTCTGTTGCTCAGAGACCCCCTGAAAAAGCCCGGCGTCTGAACTCAGTGAGGCAGCCTAAGGTCAGCCTGGGTCAGGAGGTCAGCAAAGCAGTGGTGCTGCCTGGTGAGCATCTGGTATGGCCATCTGTCACTGTCTGTCTCATCATCCACCACAAGAAAAAGGTGGTTCTCAGGAGCTGGGCGAGAAGACAGAGGGACGTGAGACAGGTTCATCTCAGCCGACAGTGGGTCACAGAGCTCCTGTGTGTCACAGAGGAGCAGGGCACAGGTTCATCTCAGCCCACAGTGGGTCACACACAGGAGGGGTGTGGGTGCTGCACCTGTGCTGCCTGTGAGCCACTGTGGGCCTTTTGGGCCACTTTCCTGCCACTTCCTCTGTGCTTGTCCCCAGAGAGTATTACCCATTGTTGTTGTTTTCTGCTGAGTCAGAACTGACCCGTAGCTGACTCTCCAGTGGGTTTTCAGAGGCCGTAGATCACACCGGAGATTGTCCATCTTTCTCCAGTAAAGTAACTGGTAGATTCAAACCATGCGCCTTTGGGACGGCAGCACAGCTTCTTACCACTAGGCCACCAGAGCTCCTTGTATACCCATTAGGATTCTCCAAATCTTCCTTAGCCCAGCTGGGTCTCTTCCTGGCCACATGTTGAGTGAGCACACAGGCCTAGGCCTCACTGACCAATTGCTTCCTGGCGGATCTTATCTGGTCATCTTGACCTTCTATGGCCAGTTCTTGCTAGGAGACAGTCACCCATTTTCTTGGGATAAGTTTGGGCTGATCACTGTCACAGGTGAGAATAGTTCCCTCCTTTCTGAGAGGGAGGAATGATTCTAGAAGCCTGTCATCTTCTGTATGTCATCCCCTTGCCTCAGGCCATCCATCAGACCACACTATGGGCAGCGTGCCGTCTTGCCCCTCACCTCGGCCGGCAGTCAGAGAGAAGCGGCGAGCGTCATGCTTAGCCTTGCCTGTGGGGCTGGGCCCCAGGGGTGCCTCAGTTCACCTGGGACAGGTGCAGGCCCAGCTGCAGTTTGTGGACTTAGCAGGCAGTGAGAGTGCAGGTAAGGAGGGACTTCCCTGGAGTGGAGTGCTTCCTCAGTGGGTAAGGTGCTCCCTGAGTAAGCAGGGTGCTCCCTGAGCAAGAAGGTGCTTCCTGGGAGTGGAGTGCTCCCTCAGTGGACGAGGTCCTCCCTCAGCAAGTAGGTGCTTCCTGGGCGTGGAGTGCTCCCTCTTGGGCAAGATGCTCCCTCGACAAGCAGGTGCTTCCTGGGAGTGGAGTGCTCCCTCTTGGGCAAGGTGATCCTTCAACAAGCAAATGCTTCCTGGGAGTGGAGTGCTCCCTTAACAAGCAGGAACTCTAGAGTTCCCAGGAACTCTGATTATACTTCTGTTTGGAGGTGACCTTTACATCTTTGTGGTCAGATGTCCCAAGTCACAGCACTATGTGCCCTTCTGCATGTAGCAGCAGTCACCTCACTACGGAAGTCCACTCAGTCTAGACATGACCTCTGTAGGAGTCCCTAGCTGACTGATCAGTGCTGATCACATGGGAAGCCTGAGGATGTAACTCCATGTACCTGTTTCCAGATGTGTCAGGTGTGACTGGACTGGGCCTGAGAGAGTCCTCCTGCATCAACCGCAGCCTGGCCGCCCTGGGGGATGTGCTGGGGGCTCTGGGGGAGCATCGGGGCCACATCCCTTACCGAAACAGCAAGCTCACTCATCTGCTACAGGACACCATTGGTGAGGGGCCTCGCTTGTCTCCTCCCCTCTGTGACATCATTGGTGAGGTCTGCTCTGACAGCACCTCCTCCATGACCCTACCAGTGAGGGTCCCTCCTGTCGCCATCTCCTGCATGACCATCAGTGAAGTCCCTTCTGCCCCCTCTCCTTCACGACGCTGTCAGTAAGGGTTCCTCCTGTACTCGTATAAGGAGCAGAGACAATGTGGAAGGCCGAGAATGACTTCTACATGCTTCATAAAGGGGAACTGTCCCCATCAACAACAGATAACAGCTAGCAACAGAGAGCTTCACGGTCAGACATGCCCACATGCTCCTGCACCTATAGCTACCAATCAATGGGTTAAAACATTTTACTCACAGTTGTGGGTTTTATTAGGGGAATAGGTTAGGGAGTGGGGGAGGCAATGAATATCACACAAAGCCCAGATTTAGTCCAGCAGTCCTAAGACAGGTTAATATCAAGACACAATTGCTCATTTAGCTCATACTCAGACAACAAGTTCAATAGCCAAATACACCTCTTGTTTTCTCAATCATCCAGCAAGCAAAACCTTTAACTGTAACTCCATCTCTAGGGTTCTTCTGGTTATATTTTGCCAAAGTCTCTTCATAGTCTGACACAGACTCTTCACAGCACTGCCACAGTCTCTTCATCCTCTCCCTATCACCATTTTTCTTAGTGTGGAAAGCGTTCTTATATTGGTCCCACAGCTGTTTGCAAGACCATGTGTCCACAGTTATGGTAGCTGGAGATCCTGCTCCCTATGAAGGCTAAGGTAGTGGATAGAAAGCCATTTTTAAAGTTCTAATGCCACACCCCACTTCTTCCATAGCCATTAGTGAGGGTCCCTCCTGTCCCCACATCAATGAGTGTCCCAACAGTCTCCCACTTCCTCCCGGACACTATCAGTGAGAGTTGCCCCCGCCCCCATGCCTGCTTCCTCCATAACACCATTGGTGAGGCCCACTCTCTCCCCCTGTGACACATCAGCTCACAGCTGCAGGGAGATTTGCTCACCTTGCTGGGCTCCTTAACTCACCCCTCACCATGTGTGGTGGCCTTTCCACCTTGGTCCTTTCTCCATGGGCCTCCCTAGCTCTGCTCGTCTCGCCCTTCGCGGTGTCCAGACACTGAGGTCATCGTGTACAATGTGATGTATCCTTGTTCAGCAGTGGCCATCACTGGGTAAAGCTGTGAGGACAGGGTGCATGACTGTCATAGAGGGAATCTGATGACAGAGACAGATCTGAGCAAGGTGGCATGACCCCATCACAGCCCCTCCCCTCACAGGACAGTGTGACTCACAGGACAGGGCAGCACTGCTGTGATGAGACCCCTGTCCCACCGACAGGAGACACAGGAGCAGGGACAGGACAGTGCTGGGCGAGGGGCTCAGGTGTGGAGCTAGGGTAGCAAGGGTGTTTGTAAGCCCAGGGGTCTCTGGGATAGGGGATGGAGGGGGACCTGTAACACAGGGGGCTATCTCTGAGGAGGGGAGGGTGTCTGTAACATGGATTTCTCTGGGGGGAGGAGGGTTGTAACAGGAAGGGGTCTCTGAGAGGTAGGGGAGAGCTGCTATAACACATGGGCCTCTGGGAGGAGGGACACTGTAACACAGGAGTCTCTCTAGGGAGAGGTGATGTAACACATGGGCCTCTGGGGGGAGGAGAAAAGAGTGTCTTTGCCCCCTCAGCTCTCCCCTCCTGGTTTCTGAGTTTTCTTCACAGTCCGCTCCTCCTCAGGGATGGGGTACGGCTGTGACGTGCACCCTGTGCTCAGGGACAAGAGCGTTAGGCTACTAAACCCCCCTCCCTGGGGGGTCACTTCTGGCCACATGCCGGAAGCTCTGAAGCCCAGGTCCAGAATGGAAGCTTCCAGGCCTTTCTGAGCATAGTGACCTCTGTGGGTGGGATCATTCTGCTGGCCTCTTGGCCTGGTCAGTGCGGCTGCAGAGGTCATCTACCTGCTGTCTCTTCTTCAAGGAGGTGATGCCAAGCTGCTAGTGGTCTTGTGCGTGTCCCCCTGCAACCGGCACCTGTCCACCACACTGCAGAGTCTTGCCTTCGGTGTGCGTGCCCAGCAGGTCCAGGGAGGCCGTGTGCGAAGAAGAGGCTGGCCAGCCCAGGGGAGTCCCGGAGAGGACCATGTGAGGGTTGGGGGTGCTGCTGTCATCTCGTCCCGGCTAGGCGGCAAATAAACCACTTCATTCACCCAGCGTCTCCTGAGCTGTATGTTCCGGGTGACGGCGGGGGGGTTGGAGTACTCCGGTGTCCAGATGACAGCGGAATAGGAGGTAAACGTCTTCACCTGCACCAGCTGAACTGTGTGTCCTAAGGAAGTGTCCTGGGTAGTGTGGGGCTCACAAAGACCTTGGAAAGCAGTCATGGGGCCCTGTGGATGTCTTCTGGTTGGAGGACCCCCCAGTGTGAGGAGGATGGGGTGCAGGGTGGGCATCTGGGGTATGACAGCATGGTGGGTGTCCTGGGTGACTCCTAGGAAGGGCCATTCCAGTGACAGAATGTAGTCATCCCAAGAGATGGGTGATCTTGGGTGACTGAGGCGGGTGTCCTGGGGGACAGGGCAGGGCAGAAGGGTGGGGCTGGATCAGTAAATGGGTGTCACATTAGCAGTCCACCCCTGTCACTGCATGGTCTGGCCACTGAAATAGTTGGACAGTTCACAGTGCAGCTGCAACCTTGGGACCACGAGCAGTGCTGAGCATGGACAAGTGAGTGTGGAACCCTGCACTCTGCCATCTGGCTGACAGCCCCCAGAGGTGCCTAGACCCCAGTTCCTGACCTCCTCCTCACTGCCCCCTCCCCAGGACCACACTCATCACTGCCCAGAAACCAGCAACAACCCACGGGCAAACCCTATGTGTGTGGCCCCAGCTCGGAAAATCACAAACCCGTGTGAGATGTCGGCGCGCTGTTCTGAGAACTGAGTAGCAAGCCCTTTAGTGAGTTCTAGAGAACCCCAGGGCCAGTCCCCACACCGTGGCTGAGACCATTACAGCTTTAGGGCCAGAGGTAGAGTAGGCTGCCTGGAGATTAGTGTGCTCCTGCCCTTCTGCCTGGCCTCCAGTGCTGGCCCTCGCTCGGTAGTCGGCAGAAAAGAAGGCCCAGCCCGGGAGCCTGGGGGAGGCGTGGTCCATGTTTCAGAGAGCACCGCTGTCCCCTTTGTGATAACCATGTCATGAAGTTGTCAACAAGGGCTTAACCCTGTGCTGAGGCCTTGTCACCCTGTGGTCACACTGTGCACCTCAGTGCTGCTTGATGCCAGTAACACAAGGGGCATCTTCCATGAACAGATTAATTTTCACAGTTGAAGAAGCTGTTGTTGTTGTTACTGGCCACTGAGTCACCTGTGACAAATAGTGACTCCATGTACAACAGCTCTGAACTCTGCCCTGTCCTGAGCCAGGCTCACTAATTCCAACACACCAACCCTTATTGCCCAGTCACTGAATCAATCCGTCTCATCGGGGGTCTTCCTCTCCTGCACTATCCCTCCACCCTTCCAAGCATGATGTCCTTCTCCAAAGACATACTTGACTCGGTATCTAACAGCAACAACAACAGGGCAAACTTGTTAGTTCTCTTGGCAGTCCATAGTATGTTTTATACTACTTTCCAACACCACAACTCAAAGGCGTAGATTCTCCTCCTGCTATCCTTAGTCATTGTCCAGCTCTCAATTGGAAGTAATTGCAAAGATCATGGCCTGGATCAGGCACACCTTAGCCTCTAGACTGACATCATTGCTCTTTAGCACTCTGAAAGAATCTTTGATGGCAGATTTTCCCATTGTAATTTGTCTATTGATTTTCTGACTGCTGGCGCTAAGAGTGATGATTAAACTGAAATCATAACAATCTCAGTCTTCTCTCCAACTATCGTGGTGCTGTCAATTGGCCCAGTTATGTCTTCTTGATGTTGAATTTTAATCCATATTGAAGACTGTATTCCTTGACCTTTTGTAGCAAACACTTCAGGTCCTCCTCAGTTTCATCAAGCAGGGTTGTGATGCAGGTTGTTGAGGAGTCTTCCTCCAATCCTGATGCCACATTCCTCCTCCTAATGTCCAGCTGCTTGTATGATCTGTATACAGGTTGCAAAGGTACGGAGACAGGACTCCTCCCCAACGTGCTCCTTTCTCTCCTGATTTTGAACCATGCTGTTTCCTTCTTCTGTCATGAAGACTGCTTACTGGTTCAGGTACAGTTTTTACATAAGCACAATCAAGTGTTCTGGAATTCCCATTTTTCCTCAAGGTTAGCCACAATTTGTTGTTACCCATACAGTCAAATGCCTTTGCACAGTCAATGAAAAACACAGATAGACATGCTTCTGGTATGCTTTGCTTTTTGCCAAGATCCATCTGACATTGGTCTCTAGTGTCATGGTCTTTCCTAAACCCAGCTTTTATTTCTGGTAGTTCTTTGTCAATGTGCTATTCCAGTCATTTTTGGATAATCTTCAGCAGGATTTTGCTTTCATGTAGTATTCGTGACATTGTTCAATAATTTCCACATTCTCTTGGATTCCCAACCTTTTTTTCTACTTTAAGAAATTTTGTTTTAATTAAGTTTAACAACACATTAATGTCACTATAACATTAGTTTAAAAAATCTTATTTAAGTTCTAAATTTATTTTTTTCATCTTTCCAACTTTTTTAAAAAAAAAAATAGGAATAAATATGGATCTCTTCCTGTTAGTTGGCCAGGTAGTTGTTCTCCAGATTTCTTGGCACAACCTGGTGAGCACATCCAGGGCAGCATCTGTTTGTTGAAATACGTCAACTGATATTCCATCAATTCCCGGGGCCTTGTTTTTTGCCAATTACTTCATAGTAGCTTGAACTTCCTCCTTCATCACCACTGTTTCTTGATCATATGTTCTTTCATGAAATTCTTCTGTGTCAGCTAATTCTTTTGGGTACAGGGACTCTGTGTTCCATCTTCTTTTGATGCATCTGGTCATTCAACATTCTGACAATAGCATCCTTAAGTATTATCACTCAAGGCTTCTTCAGTTCCTTCAGCTTAAGAAATGCTGAGCAAGTTCATCCCTTTTGATTTTCTGAGTCCAGTTCTTGGCACATTTCATTATAATACTTTGCTTTGTCTTCCTGAGCTGCCCTTTGAAATCTTCTCTTTGACTCCTTAACTTCCTGATTTCTTCCCTCTGCTTTGGGCTTTCAGTGTTCTATATGCAATATTTAGAGTCTCTTCCAACATCCATCTCGGTCTTTTCTTCCTCCTTAAACTTTGTAATGATCTTTTGCATGAAGACATGGATAATATTCTTGATATCCTCCCACAATTCATCTGACCTTTGCTCATTAATGTTCAAGACCTCAAGCCTGTTCCTGAGATGGTTTTTTAACCCAAGTAGTGTAGACTCAAGGTCAAATTTTGATTCTTGTGTTCTTAATTTAATTTTCTTTAGCTTCATCTTGAATTTGAGTATGAGCAGTTCATGATCTGTTTCACAATCAGCAACTGGCCTTGTTTCCACAGCTGATAGGCAGGAAAGAGTAAGAAAGGAAAGAGATCCTGAGTAGGCAAAACTCTTCTGAAAAATAAAAATGAAGTGGGAGGCATGGCACTCCCTGATCCCAAAACACAGTACACAGCCATAGTAACTAAAACAGCACAGTGTTGGTACAATGATAGACATAGACCAATTGACGTTTGACAAGTAAACAAGGCCTGTCACATGGGGAAATGCCAGCCTCTTCAACACTTGGTGCTGGTAACACCGGACAGCTGGGAAGCTGAAGCAGGATCCACATCTCACACCACACACACAAAAAAACCCCACTCAACGTAGATCAAAGACATCTGGGTCTCTGATCCACAAACCAACATCATAAGGATAATAAGAGACTAAATGTGGCCAAGCTTAGAAGCCCTCACCTATGGCATCAACCAGGAGAGGATAACATCAACAAATGAGACTACCTAAAAATCAACTCCTGTGTACATTAAAAAAAAACACCCTTTTTCCTAATAGGGTGAAAAGAAAGCCATTGTTGTTGTTGTTATGTGCCATCGAGTCACCTGTGACTCATAGAGACCCTGTGTACAACAGCCTAAACCCTACTCTATGCTGTGCCAGCCTCATTGTCTCTGATACACCGACCCCCATTACCCCAGTCACTGAATCAATCCATCTCACTGAGGGTCTTCCTCTCCTGCTCTGTCCCTCCACCCTCCCAAGCATGATGTCCCTCTCCAAGGACTGGTCCCTCCTTACAATATGTCCAAAGTATGCCAGATGAAGATTCAGAATCCTTGCCTATAAGGAGCAGCCTGGTTTAACCCTGTCTGGGACAAACCTGTTCATTCTTTTAGCAGTCCATGGTACGTTCAATACTCTTCTCCAGCACCACAGCTCAAAGACACCAATTCTCCTTCTATCCTCTCTAGTCATTGTCCAACTCTGATGCATAGCAAGTGATTGCAAAGACCATGGCCTGTATCAGATGCACCTTAGTCTCCAGAGTGACACCATTGCTCTTCAGTACTTTGGAGAGGTCTCCAACAGCAGACTTCCCCATCCATACATCTTTTAGTTTCCTGGCTGCTGGTGCTAAGAGTGTTGCTTGTGGAGCCAAGCCAAGTGGCAAGAAGCTGTGATACAATACAAAAGGCATGTGGTTCAAGGCCACCAGCTGCTTTGCGGGACAAGGATGGGAAATCTCCTCCCGCGTGATTAACTGCCTTTGAAAACCCACCGGAGGGTCAGGTATGGGTCAGTTCCGACTCAATGGTACACAACAAGAAGAAAGCCTATACACTGGGGAAAAAATGTTTGACAAGCCTATATCTGACAAAGGTCCTGTGGAAGTGTATAGAATGCTGCCCTTGTAGAATTTCATCCACAAGAAAGACTAATAACCCAATAACAACATGGGCAAAAGACATGGAAAGACTTTTAACAAAATGCTCAAACCCACTGGTAATCAGAAATGCAAGTAAAAAAAAAAAAACAACAAAACAAAAAAAAAAAAAAAAAAAACCAACAAGACACCATCTCATCTCAGTAGCAGTAGCAAAGTTTAACAGGACTGGAAGCAACAAATGTTGGAGAGGATGTGGAGAGATTGCAACTGTCACACATGGCTGGTTGTTGATGATCGCCGTTGAGTCAAGCATGACTCACAGAGATCCTATGAACAGAAGACCTGCCGCCTGTCTGTAAGTATTGTAATTTCTCAAAGTTCATAGCACTGCTGGTATGATTGTAAAATGGCATAACTGCTATGGAAGGAAATTTGGCATTTCCTCAAAAATCTCGTATGACCAAGGTATTCCACTGCTAGGAATATACCTCAAGGAAATTAGGAATTTAGGAAATTAGGAATGAGACATGAACAGAGATATGCATGTCTATGTTTATAGTAGCCTTATTCACGAAAGTGGTAAAATGGAGACAGTCCAAATGTCCATGAACAAATGGGTAGATTGAGAAATAGTGGTACAGTCTACACAATGCCATCCTATGCAGCACTAAGGAACAACAATTTTGTAAAATACTATGTAACATGAGAACATCTAGAGAGCATTATGCAGAGTGACATAACTCCATTTCATAAGGACAGATACTGCATAAAACCGTCATGGTAAAAACAGAAGGAAAACTGAGCAAGCTGTGTATAAATGTTCAAAAGTGAGAGGGGGAAAAGGAGGGGAGTTAACGAGGAAGAGGGGAATCTCTTGGAGAGCAGAGGCTAGTGGGAAGATGGGAGGGTGAAGCAATGGAAAAGATTCACAGGGACTTGAAAAGAGAGGTAATAGTAAATATAGATCAGAATAACTAATTATATAAAATACAATGTATATGAATGACCATAAAACACAATGTAAATGTAAGATTGTATAAAAACCAATGTACATGGGGGGGCAGGAAATACAGAATTAAATTTGAATTTCCATTAAATAAAAAAAAAGACATGTTGCATTGGTAAAGTCTGTTGTCAAGGACCTCTCCAAAGTACTAAAGAGCAAGGATGTTAGTTTGAAGACTAAGGTGCACCTAATTCAAGCCATGACATTTTCAATCACTTGCTGAGCATCTGAAAGTTGGACAGTAAACAAAGATGACAGAAGAATTGAGGCCTTTTAGTTGTGATGGTGGAGAAGAATACTGAACATTCCATGTGCTGCCAAAAGGACGAACATGTATGTCTTAGAGAAAGTGAGAACAGCGTGCTCTTTGGAGGTAGAACAGTCAAGCTTCATCTCACGACTTCGGGCATGTTGTTAAGAGGGTCCAGTCCTTAGAGAGGAACATCAAGCCTGGAAAGGTGGAGGGTCAGTGTAAGATAAGATCGTCAACAAGATGAACTGACTCTGTGGCTTGGCAAAGGGCCGAGGTATTAGAGATGAGGAAGTTAGAATAGGAGGGGGCAGGGTTCACATCTGATCTCCAGTGGACTCGACAGCACCCAACGATAACAACAAGAACAATTTGGTTACGGCCTCATTCACGTAGCACGAGACCCATTCCCACATAGGTACAGGGCTCAGCACTTCCGCGAGGTCTGGGGGACACAGCCCAGCCCCCAGGACTGGACCTTCTCCTCCAGGCCTCCCCAGGCATGCCTCTGCCCAGTGATGCACCATTAACACCACCACCAGGTTCAGACCAACCGCCCATGTGTGTGGCTGGTTTCCCCAGGACAGATGCACGTGTCACACCTACCTATTTAGACCAGAGTTTCCGCTTTGTTTACTTTATTGTAGTCTTATTTTTCCAGTCAATAATCCATACACATCGCTTGTGCCCCTGGTTGTGACCCCAGCAACGCCACCTTGAGCTGCACTTCCCTGACCCCACTCATCCTCCGGTTCACCGCGGGGGGCTGTCCTGCGCAGACAGCACCCTGGAGTCTGAGGGCCCAGTCCCCACAGGAGCCCACACTTGAAGGCGTCAAGTGTGAGGAGACAGAACAGAGCTTTTTCCTCATGTCCAGATGCATCCATTGTAGGGTGTGTAAAGGACCTCTCTGCTGGGCTTACGGCTTCACAGAGATGTGTGCGCGCAGGTCTGTAGCCACACGTGACGTGCACATGTATGTACATGTTTACACACAGTGATGTTTTCCTTTCATTTCACATTAAATTCGCCTGTTGATCTCGTTATAAAGCGTGCTGGGGCAGTCAGGCCTCAACAACTTTTCTCGGGCAGGTAACGGCAATGTCCACAGTGCTGAACTGACCCGAAGGGCGGCGGGACTGCTTTGGTCCACAGGAGGACGCCTGTGAGTCTCTGCCCATTGAGACTTCCAGCCTGGACACTGGAACCGACAGCCAGCAGAGCGCGTGTGGCCTGAGGAGCCCTGGTGGTGCGGTGGCTTATCACTCAGCCTCTAACCTCGAAGTTGCAGGTTTGAGCCTGCAGTAGCCTCTGTGGGAGAGAAAGCCCTGGGTCCACCCCAGAGATGAGCGCAGAGGAGACCCCACGGGCCCCACAGAGACCACGCGGGCGGCTCTCCTCTCTAGGGGCCGCCGAGTGGGGCACATCGCCTTGGGTTCGGTTTGCACTGGCTCGAGTCTCCAGGCCCAGTTGGATAATGTGCAGCAACACTGGCCTGTCCTGGGGGTGTCCTCTGAAGGGTTCACCTTGGGGGTTTGAGAGGCCTCTGCCCCTGGACATGTCATCTGCTAGGCCTGCAGGCAGTTGTAACTGTCCCATGGGGCCTCCTGAGCTGGCATCAGCAGGGGCTGGCTGGGAGTTTTTGTCTATGCCATGGACCACGGAGGTTGGCCCTCGGCCCAAGGGATGGGATGCCCACTGCAGCACCCATACATGGGCACCACTCTGTCCACACCTGGTCCCCAGCTTGACCCTGTGGAAGGTAACAGTGTGTGCGCAGTGGGCTGGACCCCCGTCAGGAAACACGGGGAGGAGGTTGTTGTGACAGGGACAGTGGACTGGACCCTGTCAGGACGCACGAGGAGGAGGCTGTTGTGACAGGGACAGAGAGGGCCTGCAGGGACCCGTGTACAGTCTGGTTTCTGTGCTCCAGGTGGTAGGATGGCTTCTCTGAGCTGGGATCTACCTGCTCACCCTGAGACCCCAGAACCTGGGGTGCTGGCAGATGGAGCGCCCTGCTTCCCCTAGCTGCCCCGGCATTGCTGTGGTCACCTCTGCTCACTCGCAGTGTGTACTTCGTGGTGGGTGCAATTGCATTCCAGGAGGCCAGAGGGGACCTCGGGGTGCTGGGCTACACCACAAACTCCTGAGGTGACTGGCTGTCCCCAAGGAGGTCCAGAGACTGGCATTTCAGTGATCGCTTGCCCTGTAGTCCACCAGCCACAGGGTCTCCCCAGGTGCAGCCTGGAGTCCAGCGGGGCTCAGCAGGTGAGGCTGGAGGGGGGCTATGAGACAGGTCATCCAGGCTTCGACTGTGCTGGTCAGCGAGGTACAGGCTGCTGGACCCCAAGACCTGTAGACCAGAGCAAGGAGGGGACAGAGACTGTCTGACAGATTGCTGCTCAGCCCTCCGCTGGGCCGTGACCCCGCCACCCAGTCCCCACTGCTGGCTCTTGGCTCTTCTGTCCCGTCCATCCTGTGCCCTCCCTGTACCCCTCACGGGCACCCTCGCTGTACCCCTGGGGGATGTCGCTCTGTACATCCCTGTCCCCTCTCTGAACCCTGTGGGGCTTCCCTCTCTATACCCCTGGGAACCCTCTCTATACCCCCCAAACGCCTTCGCTATATCCCACCACTGGTGCCCTCTCTACCCCCCATGCACCCTCTCTCTGTACCACTCCACGGGTACCCTCTATGTATCCTGCCCCAGTGTCCTTTCTATACTCCTGTGGGGCACCAGTCCTGTCCCCCCACCTCAGTACCCTCTCTGTACTCCCCGAGGTTCCCTCTCTGTACCCCCCGAGGTGCCCTCTCTGTACGCCCACCTCAATGCCCTCTCTGTACTCCCCGAAGTGCCCTCTCTGTACCCCCTGAGGTGTCCTCTCTATACCCCCTGAGGTGTCCTCTCTGTACCCCCTGAGGTGCCCTCTCTGTACCCCCACCTCAGTGTCCTCTCTGTACCCCCACCTCAGTGCCCTCTCTGTACCCCCACCTCAGTGCCCTCTCTGTACCCTTCAAGGCACCCTCTCTGTACCCCTGCATGCAGTGGAGGTGGCAGCCCTGGCAGGAAGGAGTGGGGACCCCCTGGTAACCCCATCTGTAGTGTGAAGGGCAGGAGTGGCTGAACTCAGCCAGCTACATCCTCGACAGAAGGCTTCTGGGCAGACATCACAGGGAGCAAATGTGGCATCTTCCTCTGTGCAGCTGGCTGGCCGGCCTGTGCCTCGTGGGTCCTGCATTCCCAGAGGCCTATGCAGTTCTCCAGGGTCTCTGCCCAGTCTGCACTCTCCAGCAGGACCCCAGGAGAGAACAGCCCTCCCAGGACCCTGGCCCACCTCTGCTCCCCGCCTGAGCCCTGAGGAGCCTTGTGGGCTTCTGCCTGGGGCTGATGTCCCTCCTGGGGGCCTTCAACCTCCAGAGGCACCTGGTGTGAAGTCCTGGGTTATGCAGAGGGAACAGGCAGGTGGGCTCAGCAGGACTGGCCCCTTGGGGCTGAAAGCACCTCATTTCCCCCCTGGCTGCAGCCTACTGCGGGCAGGTGAGAGGAAGGGGACTGGCCAGAGACACGCCTATTATCATCATACCTGCGGGGCCTCCATGTGCTGGGCTCTCATCTCGACCACTGTGATTGGTACGACAGCCCGGAGGTTCTGGCAAGAGGCTGGGGGGCTGGGGGCTGGCGGGGAGAGGAGAGTCAACCTTAATTCTATATCTGCCAGAGACAGTCCCCAGCTCTACCCAGCATCCCCGCACCTGCCAGGGACAGTCCCCAGCACTGCCCAGCATCCCCGCACCTGCCAAGGACGTCTCCATTGCTGCCCAGTGTCCCCTCACCTGCCAGGAAGAGACCTCAGGAAAAGATCCCTTCTTCACCCCCTTGCATCTGCCCCAGGGGCAGTAAAGTCCTCCCCCCACTTCAGGGGCAGCATTCAGCCTCACCCCTGGCCCAGGGCTCTGCCTCTGTGCTCAGGGATTCTGAGCCTGGGGAACCACGTAGGGTCAGTGTCTGCCTTCTCACACCATCCTGACCCCACATGGCCCTGGTCTCGCAGTCCGCTAGCACCATGATGCCTGACCTCACCTGGACTGATGTTCCCTCAGCAACCATGGCCTCCCACATCATGACACACTGGTCTCATGCAGCCCTGTCCTCGGGTCTCTCAGCACCATGATGTCCAGCCTCACGTGACTCTGGCCCCACGGTTCCCTGGCACTACAAGCCCTCACAGAAAGGATTTACAGTCCGGTGTCCCCAAGAGGCCAGATCTGCCCAAAGTAAAGGTACACCAGAGGCTTGGAGCTTCAGTGCTGCCGGCAGCCCCCTGTTTCTCTCTTGTCACCTGCAACATCCTTTGGGAAACCCACTCTGGTCCTGGCCACCCTCTGCTGGTGACTGGTATGTGGAGGAGCATCCTGCCAGCTGTGAGGGACACAGGGACCTTACGGCACATGCTCACCATCCCCTGGGTCCTGCGTGTCCTCCTCAGCCCGGCCTGGGCAGCCACCACGCAGGCCCCCAGCAGTCCTGAAGGGCTCGTCCACAGACAGTTCCTCTGGTGCACAGGCAGTGTCGGCCTCCAGGCTGGACACCTGGGAGCTGCTGCCACTGTCAGCAGAGTGGCCACTGTCCCTGCTGCTGTCACTGCCCTGGGAGTGTCGGTCAGCCAGGTGCAGGCTCAGCGAGTCACTGACATAGGACTCAGAGTAGTGCTTCTTCTCTGTGTGGAGATGGGGGAGTGCAGAGGACAATGGGGGCTGGAGAAGAGGCATGGGGGCCAAACAACGACCACACACAGAGGGAAGGCCTGCCCTTAGTGACTCAGCTGCCCACCAGAGCCACACCGGGGCCGCAGCCCAGGAGACACACAGGGGCACTCCCGCTGTGGCAGCGCACGCACACACACACACACACACACACACACACACACACGTACACAAGCATGTACACCAGTAAGTGCACACACGGCACAGGTATGAACACCAACCACACGTGCCCCAGATGCACAGAAACACACACAAGCACACACCAGCTATACATGCCACACACAGAAACACACACAGACACATACCACATACACAACACACATGCACACACATGTACACATGGGAACACACCAACCACACACATGTACACACATGCACACACAAAACACACACTACTCATGTACACACAGGAAGACACATGCACACACAGGAAGACACATGCACACACCAAACACACACCACACATGTACACATAGGAACACACATGCGCACACACACCAACCACACATGTACACACATGCTCACACCAAACACATGCCACACATGTACACACAGGAACACACATGCACACACCGGCCACACACACATGCACACATAAGCACACACCAACCACACACATGTACATACAGGAACACATACCACACATGCCACACACAAGCACACACCAACCACACACATGCACACACACATGCACACACACATGCACACACACTCACTCACACTTTACATGAACATGCATGTGCACACACCGACTGGGCATGACACCATGCACACACACCCTTCCTCAGTTCCACCTGCTTTACACATGCACATAATACAAACACATGTTATATACACTGCCACACACATGCCATGAATACACATGCACACAATCACATAGCACATACATACAGCACGAGTGTGTTTTAAGTGAAGAAACGGGGCCACTGAGGGGTTAAGCAAACCGTCCGAGGTTACGCAGACGGGAAGTGTGGAGCCCGGCACTGTCTTGACTCGGCCGACTCCTCCGAGCCTGGAGCGCTTGCTCCGCTCTGCTCCCCATGCAGCCGCCCACGGACCGGACCGGAGGCCTTAGCAAGGGGCTGGTAAGATCCTTCCAGCACAAACAGCCCAGCTTCTCGGCCCCTGTGATTCAAACGTAAAACTGGGAACGTGTCATGCAGGCTGGCAGAAACTGGACACTGACCAACCTCTCTCTCTCTGATAAAGGTGTTTGTCTAGGCGCCCCTTGCCTGCTGGGGTTCAGGGGGTTCTTTCCTTCTCTCTCTGCTCACACAGCCCTTTTCTACCCCCAGCACCTCTCTGCCTTCACAGAATCCTTCTGTGCTTCCACCAGAGGGCAGGGCCCTGAGGCTAACAAGGGGCAGGCCCCACAGTGAGCGTTTTCCGGACACACACTCACGTGGGCCTCCCTCAAACCTCCCGAAGAGAGGACACGTCGACTTTGACACCCTTTATTGACCGGTGAGCAGTCAGCTAAGGACTGAGAAGGGAAACAGAATGTAGGCTCGTCTGCACCCAAAGTCCACGACCTCCTACCATGATCTGTGGGGAAAGGAAGGAGGCCCAGCCAGGCAGGTCGATGCCTTTCCTTTCTTCTGACACTGACTTCCACCTCTTCCTTGACCTTAGGCGCCCACATTATTTCTCCTGGAGAACACACCCACAGAATATTAGCACCGTGAAAGCAGGGCCTTTGCTGTTCACTCTCCTACAAGGAGATGGATCGAGACAGTGGCTGCAAACCACAGACTCAAATATACAGTTATGAACAAGGCACAGGGCCCAGTGTTTTGCATGAGGTCACCATATTCTGGATCTGACTCTTTGGAGCTCAATAGAACTAAAGACATCTAGAAAACAGACAAGGGGCGGGGGGTGGCCCGGAGACATACAGGGCTGTGAAGAACCCTCATGAGCCGGTTAAAAAGTGCCATTGCAAGGAGGCTGGCCAGGACCTTGTCAGATGGGTCTCACTAACCCCGGCCTGCCTGAAAGTTTGCTTCTCATCTGAAGGAAAGTCCACGACAAAGATGTGAAGCTTCCCTTGAGAATGATTTCTTGTTTGGTTTTTGGGTTTTGGGGTTTTTAAAAGTATAATAGCTTCTAAGGGTCAACTAAGTCTCTAGTTTGGAGGCTCATATATGAAGTGGTTGGATTCTAGACGATGATTTGTCTTGGTAAGGGGCGGGTGTGGACTATTTGGTTGGGGATTTTTTTTTTTAATCTTTTTCACAATTGGTTGTGAGTTGCTTTGATTTCGTGTTAATTGTGTTTGGGTTGATCATTCTTCTAAGTGGTACAGCACTGGTCTGTCCATTTGCTCTACTGAAGTAACTTGGGGTTGCTGGGACACTAAACATTGTGCCACTGGTGTGTTAAATGCCATACTGGTTACCCATGGTGGACAGTGTTTGGTGGAGCTCCCAGACTGAGTCAGATCTGGAAGCAGGAGAGACATCCACTTCCTAAAACACATGCCTCTATGAAACTCTATGAACATAGAGAAATGGCTGTTGTGATAGAACAGGGTTTGGGTCTTTTGTTCATAGGGTCGCTATGAGTCATGCTTGACTCGATGGCACTTAACAAAACAACAACAACATACACTACTACACACACCTCTCACAGCAACCACACACATTAAACATTGCACACGCTACACACACGTAACATTGACTCACATGAACATGTGCACTGACACACGTCACACACAGCAACCACACACACTAAACAAGTACATTCACAATTACATGCTGTGCATCAGAGAGCTGGACTAAGGATGGCAGAGAAGAATCAATGCCTTTGAGTTGTGGTGCTGAGAAGAGCATTGAACATACCATGGACTGCCAGGAAAATAAACAGGTGTGTCCTAGAGAGAGTGAAACCAAGCTGCTCCTTAGAGGCAAGGATTCTGAAGCTCCATCTCACATACGTTGGCCTCATGGCCAGGAGGGGCCAGTCCTTGGAGAAGGACATCATGCTTGGAAGGGTGGAGGAGGGACAGTGCAGGAAAGGAAGACCCCCGATGAGATGGATTGGTACAGTAACTGGGGCAATGCGGCTGGGTGTGTCGGAGTGAGACTGGCTCGGAACTCGATAGAATATAACAACAACATGCTACATATGTGTAGCATGAGAGCACATGTACCCACTATCACAAACACTACTACACATAAATCACACACTTTAAATGCACACATAGTACAAATACAGCACGAACACAGCCTCCGAGCAGCACACGTGCATGAAATACATACAACATCCACACATATCAAACATACCACACACATACATAAAACAACACAGGTGTATACAAGACAAACAAATACCCCCACGCACACACAACACCTTCATGAGCACACGTGTACCAGCTCACCAGCTATCAAACCATGTGTGCGTATCACATTGGTTTGTATCACTGAGGCAGAACCGACTCATAACTCACCCTCCAGCAGGTTTTCAGAGGATGTAAACTGCATGGGAGGAAACTGCCCACCTTTCTCTCCTGAAGCAGTTGCTGGATTTGAACTGTTTACCTTCAGATTGGCAGTAACTCCTTATCAGTAGACTACCACAGCTCTTGTCCACGTAGGTACATACACTGCCACGTAAGCTATGTAAATATCAAAATGTACATGAACACACACCACAAACACACGCACCATCTGTCCACACCTAACATGAACGCGCGTGTGCACACAGATACACATGTATAACATACAACACTCCACACACATGGACATGGAACATGTCATCAGGACATATACCACAGGACACGGACACGCAAGTACACACAGGTACACACATGTATAAGCCACCACACTGCACACACATGGACACCACCTGTGTCACTGGTACACACATACAGGACATGAACATGCATGTGCATGGACCACACACACTACAACCATGCGCTGTACATCCCCAGATGAACACACACCAACCGTTTACACAACGTACACCTAAAATGAATTCATGTGTGTCTATGGCAACCACATACATTAAACACACGCAGCACAAATAAACCTGTGCCCACATCAACCACACACAACACAAAGTCATGTATACACACATCAACCACGCAAACAACACATAACACAGTCACATGTATACACATCACACACAACACACGTACACACAACCACCACAGACACCAAACACACAGCACAAATACATCATACGCATATTAAGTACACATGTCTTAACACGCACATATACAGCAACAGATTATTTCCCACCTCTTCCTGCTGCCCAGTGCCCCTCCGGCCAGCCTGCTCCTCACCCCAGTTCCCGAGTGGCCCCCTGTACCCACCTTCCTCCTCCTCCAGCTGCCGGAGCCGGTGCAGCACGGGCTGGACCCAGAGGTGTCGCCGGTGCGTGGAGCTGAGCAGGGACAGCAGGTGGCGGGAGCGCATCGGACAGCCTGTGTAGTAGACCAGCTTCCGGGCCGAGGGCAGCCCATCCGGCTGGATCTCAAACCTCTGGCCCTGAGGGAGAGAGCACAGGTCAGCACCCGGCCCTGCAGCACCCGGCCCAGCGCAGTCCCCAGTTGGCACCTCCGTCCTGCGTGGACAGCCAGCCTCGGCGGGAAGGAGTGTAGCCATGGGCCGCAGTGCGCAGACACGCAGGGTGTCACTTTGGAGGCCTGATTTGGTCACAGACAGGCTGGCTGACCCTCACTGTGTCAGTGACAGTAGAAATAGCGTTGAAAACGAGCACCTTCCCGTCTGAGGTGCTTGTTCACAGAGGCGTTTAGCTGTACTGTTGACTACACGGTCAGCGGTTCAAATTCCCCAGCTGCTCTGTGGGCGGAAGTTGGGCTTTTCCTGATGACAGGTTGGGGGGAGTTAAGTCCACGCCGGGGGGGCTTGGGTTTCTATCAGAGAATGTCCTGGTTGTTCTGTGAACATGTTAAGCCATCGTCCAGGCCAGAGGCTACAATCCATTCAGTGGCTCCTTAGAAGCCAGGCCTGACAGGCCTTCCGGGAACTGCATGGTCGGAGCAGGGTCCCTAACACACCAGGTCACCACGTGTAGCAGTGGGCTCAATGGCAGGTCCTGTTTTCATATCTCAGGGGCATTCCATGTGGAGTGACAGTGGCTCACAGGACAGCAGAGACCAAGGTCTCACGCGTGCCATGTGGTAAGCAGTGAGAGGGACCTGTGTCCAGGCCTGAGTCCTGGTACACCTGTGGCCCGGGAGCAGTGGGAGGCCTTGGACACTGGGCCCTTATGCACAGCATGGACCTGTGTCCCCAGGGAGGGTGGGGAGGCCTCGGCCCTTAGGCCTTTGGATGCAGAGCAGGGCCCTGCGGCCCGGGAGCAGAAGGGAGGCCTTGGCCACCAGGTCTTCATGTGCAGAACAGGGACCTGTGTCCAGACCTGAGTCCTGGTAAACCTGTGGACTGAGAGCAGTGGGAGGCCTTCACCCCCAGGTCCTTGTGTGCAGAGCAGGGATCTATGTCCCAGGGATTGTGGGGAGGCCTCGGCCCTTCCGCCTCCATGTGCAGAGCAGGCTGCTGCCCCAGGCTTTCAGAGCTGTGGTCTTTCCAAAGGAGGTTACCAGGCCTGACTCCTCTGCAAAGGTGTGAACTCTGGGGGAGCTCTGTGTACATCTCTGCGTTCCATGTGACATCAGGGACTGGGACCTGGCCGTACATGCCTCGCCGAATGTTGAGTCCCAGGTAACAAAGTGAACAGCTGCCCGCCATGGCTCTGTGTGCCCAGGGGACACCTACCAGGAATGCCAGCTTGCCGACGTGGGACCAGGGGAAGTCGTAGAGCAGGTGCCGTGTGTGCTTCACCTCCTGAGGAACACAAAAGTGTCAGAGAAGAAAGGGGCAGGACAGGGGAGGGGCTTCTGGGGAGAGGAGACGGGGAGGGACAGGAGGTGGGGAAGAGGAGGGAGAGAAGGAAGAGGAAGAGGGGGAGAAGGAGAGGAGGGGAGGCCGTAGAAAAGGATGAGGGAGCATGAGGAGGGGGCATCAGGAGAAGGAAGACGGACACGTAAGGGTGAGACACGTGGAAGGGCGCAGGCAGAGAGGGGAGAAGGTGCACTGACAGCTCTGGGGCAGCCCCTCACCTGGTAGATGTGCACCCCCCTGAGGGTCAGCCCCAGGACAATGGTGGGCTGGTCTTCCTTCTTGTCCTAAACACGGGGATGGGAACACAGGCTGAGCTCAGGGCCTTCATGGTCACCATGGTGCCAAATGACCCTTCACCCCCAGCCTTGTCCACATTCAGTTCTCCTGGGCAGGTGCCAAAAAGGACCAAAGTGCAGTCAGGACACAGTGCCTACCTGTGACCCTCCCTGCCAAAAAAGGACAGCCCTCCGTGTCCACCAAGCTGCCAACTCTCATCCAGACCCCCACTCAAATAGTCCAAGGAGCAAGTATGCACGTATGTGCAGGGATGTGTGCGCATGCGTACACACACACACGCACAAGCATGCTACACATGCACAAACACGGGCACACACACCTACAGAAAGCAGCACACACGTGCCCACAGATGTACAAACATGTGCACACACATCACACGTGCACATACAGAAACACACATATGATAACACAGGCATGCTGACTCACAGACACAATGCACGTATAGCACATAAAGACATGCTCTCCCGTGCACACAGGTGCACAAACACTCAGATGGGCACACGCCTGCACGCTGATGAACACAGGCACGGAGATGCACATGGGCCTACACATGCCCAAATGCACATACACATCTGCCCACACACATGTGCACACTCACACCTGCAGGCCCTGCACACATGCATGCTCCTCCTGGAGGGCCCCGCCCTGCTGTGTCTGCCCCACTTCACTCAGCCCGCCATCGTCCTGGAATCAGCATGAGGATGGCTCTTCTCTGTGCTGGTCCCTGTTGAGCTCCTCCCAGCACTGGTGGTGGGGTCACAGCTCCCCACCAGTGCTGGCCACCTGCCCCGGGGAGCCTCACGTGTCGGCCCTCTGGACTGGCCTCAGCAGGCTCCTGGCGGTGTGGCCATGGGCCCTGGCTCTCCGTTCCTCACACAGAGGGTGGGCCCGCGCCCTCCTGGGGCTGCTGGGCTTGCTCACGTGGCGCAGTGTGGGCACGTGCGGAGCCGACGGTGGTCTCATGGGCTGACCTTGTGCAGGCGGAAGAAGTGGACAGGCACGTCGTCCAGGCGGCAGGCCTCTCTGATGAAGTGCAGCATGGCTTCCCGGGGACTGAGGCCTCGCTGCTCCCGGTGCAAAGCTGGGGCGTGCTCCAGCACGTACGCGCTGCCCCACTTGGCCAGGATCTGTGGGAGGATTGGTCAGTGTACTGGTCCTTCTGTTGCTGCCACTCACCGACCTCCTTAATGGGGCCAATGACAGAGTTATGCTGACGAGGGACAGGCCTGTGCTTGTCCACTTTATGTCCACCCCACTACCTCATGAGGGGGTGGGTGTAGCTTCACGGGGATGACGAGGACCCCACTTCCTAGGAGAGTGTGGAAGACATCACCCTGGGGGGTGGGGGTTGAGGAGGACGAGGCCTTGCTGTGGGGACATGAGGATGCAACTTCTTTGGGAAGAACATGACCTCGACGTGTGTGGGTCATGACCCATGGGGGTAGGGAGGACACCACCTTGGAGCTCCCAGAGCAAAGACAGAGGAATCAGCCATGCTGGACACCCTAGTCCCCTCCTGCTGTCCCCCTGGTGACCCAGCACAGCCCAAGGAGTCAGAGAATAGGGCGATACAGGGGACTCACCCACGGGGGAAAGTAGGCGTGGGGCTCAAAGTACCGGCCCACATGAGTGGCCTCACGGTGGTTGCCCAGGTCAGCTTGCAGTCCGAGGGCGGCCAGCAGGAAGTAGTCCTCCTCCCGGTGGGGACACCTGGACCTCAGCACCTGTTCCTTCAGGTGGCAGTAATACAGGTGCCGGGCCGTCCTGTCACTGGGGAGGGGTGAGTGAGAGGGAGCCTAAGAGGGGAAGGGCGCCCCCTGTCCACCTTGACCCCCTGCCACACACCCTGACTGCCCACCCTAGTCACCTGTTGTCCACTCTGCCTTTCGCCCATCCCAACCACCTCCCGCCCACTCTGACTGCTCCTCACCCACCCGACTGCCCCTTGTCCACTCTGACTGCCCCAGCCTCTGCTCTGTCCAAGCCCAGGAGTCAGAGCACACCTTGCCTGCCCTGGCTGCCCCTTGCCCACTCTGACCCCCACAGCCTCTGCTCCGTCCATGGGGGCAGACACCACTGCATTTCCTGCAAATGCTCCTCTCAGAGCCCCCTGCAGCCGGCGATCCCTTAGAACAAAGTCCACTTAAGTTTAGAGATGGCCATTTGCTGGCCACTAACACTTTCCTCCCCAGCCACAAGGAAGGAAGCCCTGGACAGTGCCTAATGCCTCCCTAGCAGAATGCCTGTCCCAAGCCACTGGGATGTCCTTCCTGCAAAGAAATGTCATCTCCAGGGAACAGTCTTCACGTGTTTCAGTCTAAAGGAATTGTTACTGTTGCACATTCAAAACCAGCCAACCAACACAGACGTCCTTCCCTCAATACCCCCTCGCCCCCCAAGGAGCTAAAATCTGGATGCCCGGCCTTTGGAGGACTTGTGTTCACCAATAAAGTGTTACCTTATGACCCTGCCGTTTTCCACATAGTACTGAACCCTGAGGAAGGCGACGTAAGGGGCTTGGGACTGCTCACTTCCCTGCTGGACAACAGAGAATGGCCGGAGATGAGCTAGTAGCTGTGTTTGCTGTTTTGATTTCTCAGGGGAACAGAGGTGTGCAGTTATGGGCACTCTCCCCCGGGCGGTGGACTGGTCACCTACTGCTTCACGTCCTTTTCCAGGATGAGTGACCTCGCAGGGGCTTGGGAGGGAGGAGTCTGAAGATGAGGCCACAGCAGGGAGATACCCAGACTGACCTCATCAGTGGGGACAACCACCCAGACAAGTGGGCATTCTGGCCCTCAGAGCCATCTCAGACCAGTCGACACAGGTGTGAGCTAGCCCAGAAGCCCCAAGACAGACTCCCATCGTAATCTTCCCTTCCTCCCTCCTTCCCCAGCTCCAAGAGGGACTTCCACCCTAACCTTCCCTCCTCATCCTTTGTCCCCAGCCCCCCAGAGGGGCCTCCTCTCTAGCCTTCACTTCTTCTCCGGCCCCCAGGAGGGACCCCTCCGTAGACATCCCTCCTTCCACAGCCTGTGACTTCACACTCACTCTATGTACTTCCTTCTTCCAATCTTTTGAGAAGTATTTGCTAAGCTTCTGCTCCAAGTCCATGAATATGTACTCATTGTCTAAAAGAGAAAAATAAAATGTAGCTCTCTCCAGCCATGTACACACAGCAGCTGAGTGTGGGCCATGGAAAGCCACGTATCAGGTGGACAGTCGACAAAGGTGTGGAAACATGACCAGGTGTCCAGTGTTGCTCCTTCCATGGAAACCATTTCCCAGGGGCATGATCTCCAGACAATGCCAAATGGAAGACACGGACAGGCACAACTTTGGGAAGATAACCTGCCACCACATTCACACAATCTTAACAGATCAAACAGCGCCATTACCAGGAAAATCTGTATTTGGAAAATTTACTCCTTGTTAGAATGTATTTAACCCTCAGATCCATCCTTGTGGGCTTGTGTTCATGGTCACTGGTGGGCATGTGCAGGAGATTGAGAACCTTGTTCCTGGACACACTGGTCATGGTCTGTATTTCCAACCCTAAGGTGTGTAGTTCCAGGCGTGGGAGGAGGATGGGCAGTCCCCACTCATGGAGTTTACTGCCTCTGAAAAGCTGCAGAGTCTGCCAGGAGTCAGTTTCAACTCAACGACAACCAACACCAACAGAAGACACACATGCAATGATGCCACATGGAAGCTAACCAGTGATCCCCCGTAACATGACGGACTAGAGGGTGCTGAAGACTTAGAGTGGGACATACGCCTTTACGCCCATTGCAGCCCTGATCTGATGTACAGGGGTTTTCCTAGGGTGTGGCTGGCTTCACCTTTTATCTCATAGGTTATCGGAGGAAAGGAACATCAGGTGGGGGGAAAATCTCATACCACTTAGAAATAATCAACAGCAGGGGAGTCTCTGCTGCAGTGACTCTGCATTCAGGTCTCATCCCTGAGAAGCTCCTGTACACCAGTGAAGGCCAGGACACATGGTGGTCTCCAAGGGACAGGGGGACTGAAGATGCTGAAGGAAAAGGACCTTCCTCTATGATGAACATAGAGAGAGAGAGCCTTCTCCCAGAGCCAGTACCCTGAACTGATACTTCTAGCTTCTGTGAGAAAAAACCAACCAACCAACCAACCAACAAAAACCTTTCAATAGTTGAGACCTGGTTCTTAGAAAAACCAAAACTAAGGGAATTTGTAAACACAAGACCACTGTTGCTGGAAATATGGACAGAAATCCTCAGAGATGCCACAGAAAAGAGGATGAATTAGAGTAACCAGCAACAATATAAAAAATAACTCAACAAAATAATAGCAATAAACCCTTGACTCTCAATAATGACATTGAACATGAATGGTTTAAATGTACCAGTGAAGAGAAAAAGAGTAGCAGATTGAATAAAACATAAACCTATCAATTAGCTATCTACAAGAGACACACCTGAAAAGTGAAGATAAAGAATGAGTAAAAATCAAAGAATGGGAAAAATATATCAAGCAAATAGCAACCAGAAAGAAGCAGGAGTAGCAATATTAAGCTCTGATAAAATAGGTTTCAGAGTAAAACCATCAGTAAGAACAACAAAAGACACTCTATAATGTTTACATGACCAACAGAACAAAAAGACATAATCATAATAAATATCTATGCATCAAATGACAGAGCTGCAAGTCACACAAAACAACCATTAACAGACCTGAAAAAGAAACACCACAACAGTGGTATGAGACCTCAATACACCACTCTCAAGGAAAGACACAACTACTCAAAACCAACGTAGTGAAAAGGCTGAAGAATTAAGCCTCACAATCAACCAACTTGACCTCATAGATACATACAGGCCAATGCACTCCCCAAATGCTCAGTATACATTCTTCTCCAGCATGCCTGGGACATTCTTAAGAGTAAATCACATTTTAGGTCACAACACAAACCTCAAGAAATTAAAAAACACAGAAAAAATATAAAGCATTTTCTCAGACCACAATGCTACAAAATTAGAAATCAACAAGAAGATAAATGAGAAAAATCTATACACCTGGAAGCTGAACAATTCCCTACTTGAACATGAGTGGGTAACAGAAGACATAAAAAATGAAATAAAAAGTGTCTTGAAACATATTAGAATGAAAATGTAACTTACCAAAACCTCAGGGAAATAGCAAAAGCAGACTTAGAGGTCAATACATAGCAATAAGCAAACACATCAAAAGTATGTAAAGAGAAAATGATAATAGATTGTTTAACCCAAACTCTCCAACAAGTAAAAAAATAAAAGAAAGAAAACCCAAAGCCTCTGAAAGGAATGAAATTATAAAAATTGTTGTCGCTGTTGATCCGTGCTGTCAAGTCACCTGCAACTCATAGTGATCCTATGCACAACAGCTCTGAACCCTGCTCGATTCGGAGCCAAAATTATTATCTCTGGCACACCTACTCTCTTTACCCTAGTCACTGAGTCACTCCATCTCACTGAGGGTCTTCCTCTCTTGTGTCCACTCTCCCGAGCAAGATGTCCCTCTCCCAACACTGGTCCCTCCTTGCAACATGTCCATAGTATGTCAGTCAAAGCTTCAGAATCCTTGCTCAGAGGAGAAGCCTAGTTTCACCTTCTCTACGATGAACTTATTTGTTCTCCTAGCAGTCTATGGTATATTCAGTACTCTTCCCCTGCTATGCATCTGAGACCTGGACAAGGAATAATAATAACAGGAAAAGAATTGACACTTTTGAGCTGTGGTGTTGGAGAAGAGCACTGAACATCCCACGGACGGCCAAGAGAACAATCAGATATGTGTTGGAGATGGTGCAGCTGGAGTGCTCTTTAGACACAAGAATGATGAGGCTTCACCTCACACACTTTGGGCAGGTTGCAAGGAGGGGCGATTCCTTAGAGAAGGACATGATGCTGGGAAGGGTGGAGGTGAAGGAGAGGAAGACCCTCAACCAGGTGGATTGACACGGTGACGGCTGCAATGGCCTCTTGTGTGTCAGGAAGTGTGAGGATGGCGCAGGATAGAACAAGTTTCAGATCTTTTGTTCATAGGGTCACGATGAGTCATGCTAGACTTGACGGCACCCAACAACAACAGTGCCAAGAGTGTTGATTGTGGAGCCAAACAAGACGAAGTTGTTGACAATCTATAACTCCACTCCCTCTATCACGGTGCTGCCAAGCGGCCCAGTGGTGAGAATCTTTGTCTTCGTGATGTTGAGATTTAATCCATATTGAAGACTGCAGTCCTTGACCTTCTGCAGCAGGTGCTTTGAGAGCAATAAGACAAGACATGAATGTAAGAGGTATTCAAATCGACAAAGAGAAGGTAAAGCTATCTCTATATGCAGATGATACAATAGTACACTTAAAATCCTCTAACATTTCGGTGAGAAACTATTGGACATAGTTGTCCAATTCAGCAAAGTAGCAAGATAGAAGACAACTTATAAAGGTCAGTTGGATTTCAACAGTGACAAAGAGAATAAAGGGAGCTACAGAAAACAATACCAATTACAATAGCTAATCCCAAAATGAAATACTTGGAAGTTAATCTAACAAGAGACACAGAAGACCTATACAAAGAAAATTACAAAATATTGCTACAAGAAACAAGAAGAGACTTGGAGAAATGGAAGACTATACCATGCTCATGGACAGAAAGATTCAATATCCTGAAAATGACAATCCTACCAAAGGCAATCTACAAGTTCAATGCAATCCCAATACAAATTCCAATGCCATTCTTCAACGAGATGGTGTTGGTAAAATTGGAAAACCATCTGCAGAAAAGTTAAGCAAAACCCATACCTCACAGCATATAAAAAAACTAATTCAAGTTGCATCAGGGACCTAGAAGTAAAACCAAAGTCTAAAATTTATCACCAAAAAGCTAGGAACAACACTAGAAGTCCTAATCCACAACATAAACAGTCTTCCAAGTATCCTGAAAAACCTACAACCAGGATAGAATAAAAAAAGATGAATGGTATCTTCTAAGAATCAAATTCCTATTCACATCAAGAAACTTCTTTAACAAGGTAAAAAGGAAACCCTCAGCCTGGGAAAAATATTTGCCAAAGAAATGCTTGTTGTTGTTGTTATGTGCTGTCAAGTCGCTTGTGACTCATAGCGACCCTATGTACTACAGCCCTAAACTCTGCTCTGTCCTGTGCCAATCACACCATCTCTGACACTCCCATCCTGATTACCCCAGTCACTGAATCAGTCCACCTCATAGAGGGTCTTCCCCTCCTG